GAGAGCGTTTTTATTACGGTAGTGGAGGTGGTGCGAACAAGTGATGTCTGGAAACTAAATGTGGTGGCAAGCCATGAGGTCCAGTTCACGCGCCAAAGAAAGTGACCCTGAGGTTGCTGGAACGGAAACCAGCCGAACCCGACCTGACCCGACCCATCGATCTCACCGACTCAGCGAGATCCGGCGAAGACAAATCGATACGGGACGAGCGAGACCCTACCGAGCAGATCCGATTATTCCGATTGGCGTTGGCCGGCAACACTCGCGAGGCTTTAGCAACTGGTGGAATACGCGTTCGGACACAGAGCAGTGTGTGTGTCATAGATATCTTGGTGGATGAGGAAAACTGTGAAGGGAACATACTTCCCCGCCTATCCTCAAGTCCTCCTGTCAATTATCAACGCAGGATGTTCCAGCAGTACAAAATCAACACCAACGGGTCCAGTACGAGTTCGCTACATGAATCGGCTTGGGAGCAGTCAAGAGTTCGTCAAGCTGTTTGGCAATCTCCAACGAAGCCTGGGTCTCCGGCAATAGCCCCTCTTGGTGCACAACTCTACGTCCCTTCGGACCCCAGCTACTTCGACCTGAGATATTTGGTCATCATCCTCCTTGATCTCACCATCATCCAGCCCCTCCAGCTCACCATCCGGCTCTTTCTCCGTCACTTCACCTTTTTCGACACCGACATCGGTCTTGGTTTCTCTTTTGTCCTTTTTTACTTACCTTGTCTTCGGGTTCCCCTCCATGTCATCTTCGTCGTTCTGAACTGACTGGCTTGTCTTCGTGTTGAACTGTTTTCGCGCAAGCCTCTTCGACGTCGTTTGCAGGTTTCGGACGTTCTGGTGACAAGTGTTCTCCATTATCCATTTTGCGTGATCTGATACGAAGCCCCTCGAACCTGATCCGATCATGGTTACCAGGCATGCTCACACGTCGCCGGAGTTGGTCTTCCACATACCCGTCCCGGCTGTGATTTTTTGCGCGCCGCGAACCGATACAAGCGACAATTTACTTCGGCAGTGAAGGATAAATGACCAACAGCGTCCTATCGGGGTGGGTGTCCCGTGCAGGTTTCAACCCCCTTGCTTGCGCACGTACGTGATAGCGGGCTGTGATACTGAGTGTTGGCACTGTCTGTTGTACTCCTTGTTCCAACAGCAGATGTTCCTCCCCAGTGCACTTCACCTTTTCGCCTTTCAGCAGCCCTCTTTCACCAACCGCCCCCAATATCTATCTGATACCCAACATCCATCTGATACCCCCTCTGTAAAATCTCCCTTCCTCTTCCCAGCACGTACATAAGCCACACCATTCCTCCCTCGTCACTCGCCATTCATTCTTCTGGACCACTTCTTTCACCTGGACCCGCATCACTTCTTTCACGCCTGCCCACCGCACCAGTTGGAACACACAAAAGGCGCCCACCACTATGAGAGAAAAGCCGGCTTTCGAACTCTAACAGCCGGTTGAATTCTTCAATCGACCTTAGCATTCGTTTCCCCAGCCTGTTCAGCAAATCTAGCCTCCGTTTCTCCAATAATCCCTCCTCCGGTCTCTCTAGCTCTCGCCTCCATTTTTCCACATTTTGTGCCCTTCTTCCCAACAATTCCCGGGCGTCGCCTTACCCCTTTAAGCCAATCTTCCGCTACCC